GCTCCAGCATCAATCAAGGCACAAACCACACTTTCATTGTTACTTAAACGGACAGCAACAAACAAAGGAGTTTGGCCATAATCGTTTGTTATGTTAACATCAGCACCAGCATCAATCAATGCACGAACCACACTCTCATTGTTTATACTTTGCTGCACAGCATAAAACAAAGCATTTTGGCCATGAACATCAGTTATGTTGACATCAGCCCCAGCATCAATTAATGCACAAACCACACTCTTGTTGTTACTTTGTCGTAAAGCATAAAGCAAAGCAGTTTGGCCATAATTATTGATTATGTTGACATCAGCACCAGCATCAATCAATACACGAACCACACTCTCATTACTAAGTTGGATAGCATGAATCAAAGCAGTTTGGTTATCAATATCAGTTATGTTGAAATCAGCACCAACATAGATCAATGCACGAACTGTACTCTCATTGTTACTTCGTTGGACAGCATAAAACAAAGCAGTACGGCCATGAAAATAAGTTCTATTGACATCAGCACCAGCATCAATCAATGCATGAATCACACTATCATTGTTGCTTTGTTGAGCAGCATAAAACAAAGCAGTTCTGCCATATTCACCAGTCATATTGACATCAGCACCAGCACTAATCAATGCACGAACCACACTTTCGTTGTTGTTTTGTTGGGCAGCATAACTCAAAGCAGTTTGGCCATCATCACCAGTCATATTGATATCAGCACCAGCATTAATCAGTGCACGAACCACACTCTCTTTGTTACTTTGTTGGACAGCATAAAACAAAGCAGTCTGGCCACCACAACCAGTTATATTAACATCAACACCAGCATCAACCAATGCACAGATATCATTCTCATTTCTTTGGATGACGGCGCGAATCAAAAGATCACACTTATTATCAGTCATGTTATCGGTAGCCATCCTTTGATGTCTGAGGACTTGATGACCAACTGTAATTTCTGTTATATTTTCTATTTCAGTTTCATACAAACACTTATCTCCAACTGCTGTTTACAGGATTCAAGTTAACCGAGTGATAAAATATTCATTGGTTGAGCTTACGATAAATCCGTCATATGCCAGGTATTTCCCGTTTTTTTCCACAACATTTTCGTTCAGTTTTCGTGGTTTTATTTTGTAGTCTTACTGTCGGTGATAGAAGCGTTTCTTTGCAGATCTCTTGGCCTTTGCAATGTTGTTGTTTTAAGGCACAGCTATAGCGCTTCCGCCTTCAAGACAGCAAATTCGCTAGTATAGTCACATATTGATCATCAATAGAACATCACTTTACCTATCAGAACAATTATACTAAGACAAGATTACAGTGGATTTAGTCACGTTCAAGGTGAGATATCAGAAGACGGATTTGAGGAAAAACTCAAGCTTCGAAATCCCGGCGTTCTTCGAATAGACGTGTCTTGGAAGCCCCTTGGCAAGGGGAAGGAAGGTCGTCTTGGAATGTGCAGACTTGCAGATTTGAACGACACAGGGATCCCAATATTGTACGGTTAATTTTTACGGTCATTTGGGTTTTTGTATCTGACAAGAAAGGCGAGTATGTTTATCGATTTAGTTGCTTTACATACATCTTGTAATCATTAACCAAATTAAGAAAGTATTTATTTTTTCAAAAGACATTTTTAGCTCCCAGTTGCGGCATCCAGTTCCCATCATCCCTCACTGCGGGGTCGAAATAAAAGATGGCGGATCAAAATTGTTATGATTTGAAAGAAATGTTCGTTGGCAAATATCTTATAACTGGTGCACAGAATAACAGCAGAGTTAAAATATTCAACCAGTGTACATGCAGGTGGCTGTCTAGCTTGAATGGTCCAATGTCTAGGGATAAATATTATAAATAAATAATAAATAATGAAACACGTGATTTTTTAAAAATCTATGTGTAAATGTGTTAATATCTAACTGTCTTTTTTCGGTGGACATCGTAATGACATTGACTGTATGTATGTTGTTGGTGGTTGTGAGTAACTTCGATCAAACCCCTACCCACTGGCCGGTGTCACAGCGTTTTGTGTTCCCCCGTGTTAATTATGTGTTCATTAAAAAAAAAAATTCGGGAATTTTATTGTCCGTTTTCATGCATGGCTTCTCGTGACAGAGTACATTATGAATGATCGTCCTCCTGAATTCTACTGCTTGGTTTACTAAAGAGAGCGTGTCCACAACTAACAGACACCAGAATCAGAAGGACACTGTGCTTGGCACTTGTGAAATCACAACTGAATTTTGCAACCCAAGCGTAGTCACTTAGGACAGTGGAACAGTTTTTTAAGTGGGGGGTCTGCAGTTCTCCTTTCCCCTCCCCCTTTTGAGGTGAACTTTTTTCTTATTCCCAGGCAAAAAAGAAGTGATTCTCATGACAAGCAGCAGCTCCTGCAGCTTGATATTGACTTGCCTTGCACATGTTCACTAGTTCACAAGTTTATGTTTTCTAGAATTTTGATTGGCTGATACATATATTTATCTCAAAAATGTGATTGGTCTAGCAGTGCTGTATATATCCCAGTATTTGATTGGATGGAGAGTAAATTCTTGCACAAATTGTGTGATTGGTGTAACAATTTTGTCCTAATTATTGCCTCTTCAGAAGTAAATTTATAAGTCTGCCTATGTAAAAAACTAATCCGTGGTTCTCATCTAAGATAATGATGTTAACTTGAATATTTCTAATGCACATATGCATGTTCCATATACACTCACATGCACCCAATCATATTTAACAGTTATTTATCGAGACTGAGAGAAAGGGTGCGGCCCTTAAATTTTTTACCGAGTTGAAGACGAGGGAAACATTACATTTGTGTGACCCGCTGACCACAAAACACACTTCAGGTTCCAGTAAGGTTTCAGTGAGGTTTTTTTTTTTTTTTCATCAAGTGTAAAAGAACATGAAAAAATATTTGATTTTTAAAAAATACTGAATACATGTGATGTTGGCCACTAGCAATAATTGCTGGGAAACAGAGAAATTTGATGATCACAAATGGTACCCAACTGGCCAAGGACAAGAGAGAAAAAATGAAGTTTCATACATATTATATTAAAATAATATTGGTATAATATTAGACTTTTGAATACAGAGTTTCGCTCTCTGTGATTTCTTGTGCAACTAGTGATTGTGAGATGACATATCACCGCTCACTGATCACTGCTGAGCAGTGATTAAGAGGTTTTCCAAAGTTGCGAGAGCTAAAGTAATACTAAAATCCTTTTTTTTATTCTGAATATTGTCTTTTCTCTGCTATTCAAGTCTAAAATTATACTAAAACAGTTATTCCCATAGTAAACATTAAACACTTATTGACTGGAACAGTGGGAAACAGTGTGTTTTATGGTCCCTAGTTGTAGAAATGTTTCCCGAGGCAAAGCCAAGTGGTAGGGTTGTGAAATAATTTGAAGTCTTGGTGTTTGACATATTATTCAAATGATAATATGCAGCAAGGGTTCTATCCCCAAAAATCCACTGTAAAGTCACTATTTAAAATCTTGGGTGGTGGAATATTTGGAACCATTCATTTTTTGACAGGGAGGGGAGGGGCAGGCAGCAGGACTTGTGTGTCCAAAAAAAATCAGGCTCAAGAAGGGGGTGACAAAAAACTCCAAGTCTCACGTCAGCACTTTAATGAACAGAAAGGTAAACTAGGTAGGGGCAGCACAGACAGGGGATCAGATTTCTAGTTTCCAAGCCCAACCCCACCCCCTCTCCCCATAAACGAAATGGTCCCTAATGTAAGTACACTAAAAAATGCACTGTGGAATAGAGTACAAATACTATAAGTGTGTAACATAAATACCACTAAATACTGCTAAATTATGCTAACCCTATTGTTTTCTATTGTTTAATTAGCACTATTTACTACTAAATAGTGCAAAGTGTTGCACACTTTTAGTTTGTACTCTATCATTAGCAATAACATATTTACAAAGATACTTAATTCTAATTGGTCCATACATACGTCTGGTATTTTATTTCTTATTGTGAAGCGCCATGGATTTTGATATGTGCGCTATATACAATACAATACAATACAATTTTATTTGGCACCTTATACTAATAGTACATGAGTGTTTGATTCCAAATATATTATAGGTATATATATATA